ATTATGTAGTAATCTGAAAAAAATATTTCCAAAAACGTTAATTATTTCAAACCGATAAGTGTTTACTTATTACTGTTAAAAGAATCACTCTGTATAAGCTGAAATAGACGTGCGCGATGCGACGACCTTCATCGGAAAATTTCCGTTTCAATTAATGGTGTGAATAATAACATGATGTAGGTACCGTACTACACTACTACATATAATGAACAAAATACTGACACAGATACCTAACGTACTGTTATTGTTACGATGTAACCCACCACGCAGACTAAATTATTATTATATTATAATTTATCTTCTACCTAGGCGTAAATGCGTTGCAATATTGGGCGCTTGTAAATTGCTCCCACATTGAGCAGGTAGTAAAAATACTATACTAAATTTCGCTCAGGATTTTTCGATTTCTAAAATAGGTATAGTAAATTGCGCCCATAGTATCTAAGTGCCCTTGAATTCATCGATATCTATTATATATATTTTAAATACTGTTGTTCATTTATTGGTGAATATGTGAAGATGATATCTCATTACTATGCTGATATATCATATTATATATAACTTATAACATTTTTTTTTTATTATAAAATGTAAAGACTCTTGGCAACATTAGCCATTAGGTTAACAAGTAACTTATAATTGTATTACTAATTACTATGAACTCCATATATTATATAATTTACCTGATTTTGTATTATTATTTATACTGCATAAATTAACCTAACAAAAAATGTTTAACAACTTTTTAATCCTAAACTAATTTAGTTAAAAAAAAAATAAAATAATTTGTCCATGTTTATTAACTAATTTACTTATTTCAAGCAAACCAAAAAACCTTTTTTTAACGAGAGTGATAGTCACCTCCTCGTGATGTCTTCTGAGATCTGTATAATGATAAATGACTATCATAAAAATAATATTTATATTGGGCACTACATAGAAATTTATAACTGAAAAATGGCCAGGTGGGTATGGGTAAAATAGGACAGTTTATGGGTTGGTATAACAATATTACAAGGGGTAGGTCAGTAGATCCCCATACAGCCAAACACTATTTATATCAGTGGGGTGACTCAAAAAAAATATAAAAAAATAGTTTTGCTCAAATAATTTTAGGTGACCTACGCATCATAACATTATTATACCTACCTATAAAATGCCTTATTTATAGTAGGTTTTCAGTAGGTTACTAGTGGGTCACTATAATGGATGGTGTTAAAGTTGAATTCAATGATAGTAGGTATAGTAAAAAACTAAAAAATTGAAATTTGAAATTGTCCGTAAACACTAAACTGAACAAAAAAAGTCAAAATATTTTGAAAATTTATCAAGTATTGAAATTGATAAAATAAACATATGATATAAATCTCAAGTGTCTAAGGTGATTTGTTTTTGAATTACAACAAAATAAGAAATTCGCTACATAAGAAATTCAATATTGTAAAAATGTGAACTTCAAACGCTTATAAAATTTAATTTGAATTTTTTTGTAAAGATTTTTTTTTTATAAATTAGGCAGATCTATGAGGAATCTTGTATGTAATTTTCAAATCTCAGATTTAAAAAAGGTGGGTAAGTGGATGTCGCTCTGCTGTACAGTAGGTTACAAGTGGGTCACTGTATAATGGATGGTATTAAATTTAACGATTCTGAGCGAAGACGGTATGTCAGAATTCGATTTATTTATCACAAAAAAAATATTCTGAAATAATATTAGAAATTAAAAACGCTAAATCAAACAAAAAAAAGGTGGGCAAGTGGGTATCGCTCTGCTGTACAGTAGGTTACAAGTGAGTCACTGTATAATGAATGATATTAAATTTGAATTCAACGATATAATATCATTGTATAAGAAAAACGATTCTGAGCGGAGACAGTGTGTCAGTCTAGGTATAAGAATAAGACATATTAGATACATTATACATATCTATGGTACTAAACCAAAATTTGACCTATAATAGGTAGGTACCACCTATAATAAATTCCAAATTAATCATATCACAATATCTATTTGGTACTTATAACGCGTTATACATCAACAAAAACCGTGATACTATCATAGATATATTATAATAGTACACTTTAGAAGTTTCAAGTACCCACGAATAATATTATACAATCACAACAAAATAACTAAAATAGTTATTCTAGGTTTTTTATTATGTAATTTCGTTCAAATTTGAATTTAAAATGTCTGTAAAAAATAACTGTGTTCATATATTTTTTAGATTTTTTGGTAACAGAATTAACTACTTACGTGGAATCTTGTTTTAAATTTTCAATCCTTAGCTATAAAAAGAAAAATTTTTACGAATTCTTAACTCAAAATAATTAGCTATTTTTCGTGATTTTTCCATATTTTGTCAAATTTTGAACTTTAAATGCTTATAAAAAAAAAACTGTGACTAAGGATTTTTAATGTTTTTCATCTGCCTTTAAAACAATATACTAGGAGCCTTCTATTAAATTTTCAAGCTTTTTCAGAATACAAATAAAATTTTATTGATATTTTTAGAAAAAATACTAAAAAAAAATGGAAAATGAAAATGTCCGTAAAGAGCTCAAAATAAGTCAAAATATTTGGAAAATTTTATGGTGTATAGAAAATGCTAGGTAATATAAACATTCAGTCAAAATTTCATGTACCTACCTATATAAAATGGTAATAAAACAATAATGAAAAATTTCAAAGAATACCTAAATCTATATAGTCATATGGTCATTTGTTTTTGAGTTAGGTAGGTAAGCACCCACATAAATTACCTAAATACATCTGGTTATTTACAATTTGTCAGAAGCTCTTAAAAGTGACCTCTAGATTTTCTACCAGAATTAATAGTCATCAAATTTGAAATAGAATTATTTTTTTACTGTTTATTGAATATTCAATAAAGTATGTATGATTGTTATTATCATATATCATGCATACAGACAAAAAAATAAATAACCCATCATTGTATAAAATCAATAAATTCATAGCTCTACTAAGATCTGAATTAAGATTTGTATCTTAAATGTATGACTTTACACTTAACTTTTTACATTTTAGAAATAAAAATGTATTGCAAATATTCCTTAGATGTTAAATAAAATGTTATACATTTTTAGCTACAAAATAGTTTGTTATTTTCATAATTTTGATAAATTATGTAAACATTTTAGTTTTTTACAAAATAAAGCAAAAGTACCTATTACTGGGAAAGCTTTTCCAATTGACATAGAAGTTTCATAGTCTAATTTATTTTGAAATAGTATCTATTTTGTAAATTAAAAGAACTCGCATTACTAAAATAATATACGTTTATACAGTGGAACGTTAGAACATGTTCAAAACATTTATAAATTTGTGTAATATGTAAAATAAAATTGTCGCATTGGGTAATAATTTAAATTGTAACATTTTTTTATCAGTTATCAAATTGTTCATACTTAAAATATTTTATTATAATTAATATATGAATTTAAGTTTACATCCATAGTAATAACTAATACCTTAGTAATATAAAATTAATAATAAATTATAATGTTGCCTGTTGTATAGATTTTGTGGATACAATACTACTTAATATTTATATTTAATAAAACAAACATTAATTAACATTAACTTTTATTTTTGTAATTAAATTATGATTAAACCTTGAAAAATTTACATAAGCAATGTAATACTATTGAATAATGAATAATGAAAATTTTTTGTACCTACTTTAATTTCGGGCAGAATGCTCAAAAATGTGTGTGGAATATCAAAAATAGGAAATAAAATTTAAATTTGATTTGCAGTGATTCCAATGGTTCCCTTGATATTATTTATCACCTAATACTGGCACATTTATTATTATGATATACTGCGGTTATGAATAGTGTTAAGAGGATGTTAGTGCACTATTTGTTTTCTCTCTCTGGCCCACGAGCAACATAGACAAAAAGCATTTACACAGAATCATTTTTCTATGTTTTTAAGTAATCTTAGAGTAAAATCACCAATTACAAAAAAGATAGAGAATAATAGGTATTTATGATTAAATGACATTTCTGACACGATTTGTCTAAATATTGTCTCAATTTAAACATAATTTAAATTTACAAAATTTTTTGTTTATTTTGAAAGTCAAATAACAATAAAATGTAAAATTGATATGTCATTCCTTCAAAAATATTATTCTCTATCTTTTTTGTAACGGGTGATTTTACTCTAAGATTACATAAAAACATAGAAAAAATGATTATGCGTTAATGCGTTTTGTCTATGTTGGGCCATAGAGAGTTAACAAATAGTGAACTGACATCCTCTTCATATTTTAAACTACAATATAGTTTCACCATTTGTAAGAAAAAACTAGTCAATAAATTTGAAAAATATTAGCAAATATGGTGTCAGCCTGGGACTTGATGATTTACAATACAGTCAAATCCGCTTAATTGGGATTTGGGACACATCGGGCTGTGACCTATTTTTCCCCATTATCCCCACTGTCCCGATCAACCGAAGAATTTTACATACAATATATTCATTCAGGACTGTCATTAATGTCCCCATTAAGCAGGTTTCTCCTTTAAGCGGATTCTGATGTATACTATCACAACAGATCAATATTTTACCTGAGAGAAAAACAAAATAATTTACCAAAAATTGTTCATATATATTGTAAATAGTATAAAAAATATAAATGTTTATTGTATATAATATAACTAATAATCTATGCAGGTAATTAAAATAAAACAATAGGTACATTTAAAAAAAACCATATCAATTTGTATGTTATCTTTTAAATTTATAATAAATTTAAATGGTTATTAGTTATTACTTTATTAGTCAATTATAATACTTAATTTAGAAATTTCAACTAGTAAAAAATGTTATAACAATTTAATCATAAATTTAAGTTATTAATAAGAGAGAAAAATTAAATTATTAAAAGTTTTTAAATATTTTTATTATAACATATTCAATAATTTATTTTAACTTTCGTATAGTGATTCTTATAAATAAAATAATTAATCTACACATGTGAAGTCACAGCACTTGAAACATTTACTGGTGGTAAGTAAAATGATCGTATCTGGCGGTGAAGATCAGCTACTACTCTATCGTCTTTTTCAAATGCCACTACACTTCTGGTAAACTTTATTATTCCTAGAAGGAAATAAATAAATAAATAAATCTATTTTTAATTCAAGATAAATATGTATGTAAAATAAAAAAATAGTGAATAAAACACTAAGAACCAAGTTAAGGAATAAGATAAAATAATATTTTGTTTGTTGTAAGCCATCCAGTATATCAATTTTCTTATTGAAATTTTGTTTTACTTTGAGGTTGAGCCTTTGAAGTGGTTGAAAATTAGTGAGGGTGGCTAAAAATTTGATTAATATTGATAAAGTTATTTGTTAATTTTAAGTATACTATTTATGTGTGTGAATATGTGTAAATATGTTGTATGGAGGTTAAAAAAACAACTAATGATGTATATGTTCAGCCTTTCAGGGATTTACATATATTAGCATTTACTAGCAAGTAGCAATCAATACGGAGAGTTGTAGTCCTTCGCATCCAGAGTGTACAGAAACCAAATAATAAATTGTTGTTAAAATATTTTTTTTTATTAATTTTTGTAAATGTTATGTAATTGTAATTGTTTAAATATGTATTAATTGAGAATTAATTAATAAGCAAAAGCTGTGCTGCCAATGTAATGCTTAAACAGATGTGGTAGTATAGTCAATGAAACAAAAAAAAAAAAAAATTACAAAAAACAACTAAAGTTTATTTTAATACATTAGGTTAGGTTGAGGTTAGTGGTGTATACACAATTTTTGTATGTGAAGGATCAGAAAAAAAAATTATATACTAGTTAGTAATACTTTTTATTACTTAGTATTTATGCATAAAAATGTTTCTAATTTGAATAGAAACAAAAAAAAATATTGAATAATTTGTTTGGAGGTAGTTAAATTAAAAAGTACACAAAATATGATAATCCTCTAATATCATTTCTCAATGATAATAAACAAATTATAGGAACTTTCAACTACAAATATTAAAAAAAAAACAGAAACACAACAAATTGTTAAATTATTATAACAGGTAAGGAAACAAAATACTTCCAACTTGACACAATTATATGGATAATAAAAAACAAATGGAATTTTAATAAAATTGATTAATTATAAATGGTCAAATATAAAAATAAAAATAAAAATTATAAAACCGTTAAAATATAGCCGAGAATATAGCTCAGTGTATAGGCAACTACTACAATTCTAATATTTTTTATTTTTTAAGTATAATTTTTTAAGAGGGAATACTTATTTTAGATAAAAAAGTGGTGGCATGGAAAATTAAAATTAAAAAAATTGAAAGGATGCCATCTATCGACCACGGCCCACTTTATTCACTAAACAGTAAACAATGACAAACATAAAATATATTTGTGATGAATTTCTACTTACAGAATTATTGAATTACATTTTATATTTGTTAGTTATAGTGTAATACAGCACTACCATAATAGAGTAATAAAACATCAAACTTACATAGTATAACATATTATTAGTTTTTTGAAAAACTGTAGTTCACAAAATTGTTATAAGTTTATGACATGAGTGGCATGTGTGGATAGGCCATTTTTGTCCTAGCAGGAAATTAATACTTGAAAAAAGTAGCCAAGGAGTCATTGCGTCAAACTATATAAAAGGGCTCCATTGCCCAAATGCGGAGGGGGGCCCATAGGGAAATTATCAGCTACCCAGCTTCCCGGTAGCCCTACCACCCATGATTAGAGGCATGGTGTACACTGTTCATAATTATTTTTATTTACCTTCTCGTCCTTCAGGGAGCCCATATTTTTTAATTACATTCATCTGAGTGCTGACAACTATTGGATAAACATATTGCATAACTTTTAGCATATCATTACCAGCTTTACTCTTAGCATCTTCTAAATTCAATGCATTTTCACAGGTTGTAAGAGATTCCAGAATCTCAGCCAAAATAACTAAAATGTTAAAAAGACAATTAAAAAAGTATCAAAATTATACAAACATAATATAATCAACTATATAAGTCTAAATAAAACTAAATAAAAAATTAGGTAAATCTAAAATATTAGTTAAATTAAAATTTTTATTCATTTATGAATGTGTTAACAATTTATATGAATCCTTCAATGTTTATATTAAATCAGTAGTTTTCAACTAATGGTAAGCGACTTTTTTTTTAAGAAAAAATTTAAATTATTATAAGTATTGTACAATCCTAATTTCAAGGCTTCAAGCGTTACATGAACATTTAAAATTTTGTTGGTGGTACCTATTGGGATATAAAATTGGAAACTGCTGTATTAAATAGTATGTAAGGTACTGTTTAACCTCAATAATTAAATTAGGATAATAGTCAATAAGCCTTTAAGATATATTCTACATAATAAGTAATTAAAAAGGCTTTATTAATTTTTAGGCAATTCTACAAAGTGTGTAAAATTGTCTTGAGTTTTTGGTTATTAATTCTGGTATATAATCAAATGTCAACATATCTGTGTTCAAACAGGGTAAATTAAAAGTGTAAAAATTAATGACATTTATATAATTTATATGCAATTTGAAAAAAATTATACATTATTGTGTTTATTTCCATTACAAAAAAAATATAGGTATTTAAAACTTTACTAATTTTTAACAATGTAAACTACATAGGTAATAAATTATTAGGTACCTCTCATAGTATTTGAATCAAACTGTAGAGACGTTGTCATTATTATTTCTTTGAAGGCAAAAATCAGAAATTAGTCAAACACGTCCAACAACTTCTATTATTGTAAGGAAAACCTCGTATATTATTTAGTTTATTTTGAAAAAAATATGAATACTTATAAAAATAAATATTGTTTATAAAATATATTATGACGTGTTTTAATGTGTAAGTCTGCCCGAAGATATCTATGCAATGGAAACTTGAGGTACAAATTATGTATTCACTGTAAATCTGTATGTCACTCGACTTCAGATTTTAGACATGAATATGATCGTAAAAAAAAATTAATTAATAATATTATTCTAAAGCTAAATAATTGATAAAACTAGTTAACATAAATCACCGCTAGATAGCACCGAAGCCGGGCACAGAAAAAATTAAAATATATTGTATTATCTATGGTCTCAAGACATAAATTCGTCGTTTGTGGCATCGGCACATTGAACATTTTTTTTAGTATCAAATAATATTGTAGGATTAGAACAGTGCGACCCGAGGTGTTCTTGCTGTTGTTGTTGTCGTGATATCATGGCGGCCCAGTCGCCGCTTTTCGCCAGTGATAACCACGATTTAAGATCTACATAATATTTCATGTCAACACTTTTCATTTGTCTATCGTGGCGTTGATTTTTATATAGGTACCTATTTACTAACGTGATCTGGACGTCTTGTTAATATTTATTTATTAATCGGTAAAGCTTTAACAACAATAATATTATTAAATACTTCATTACTGGGCCGCCCAATCCAGACGGTTGGGATATTAAATCCAGTTATTTCACTTGGTGCTGTTTATTTGATATTTTGATGGTAAGTGCTTGGGATGGGATTAATGTCTTTTTGGAACTTTTCTACTTTACGGTACACCTTTTTTGTGCAATTTTTTTTTTTGAAACTTATGTAGTTTAGTTCGCTGAAAACATGATGGTGAAGTCGGAACTTGGAGCCTGGACTTAGTTTTGAAGTTATGGCCTAATGAAGTTCACCATTTTGCGATTTTGGAACAAATCTACTTTACCAAACACCCTCTTTTTAAAATGTTTTTTTTTTCAAAATACGTCTTTTTTTATGCTGAATTCAAAACTGTTTGAAAATTCCCGAACTTACCGTTAAAAGTTATCGACGTTCAAAGTTGCAGTGATTACGCGTGTATCGGCACTCGTCGCTACGCTTCTCGGCGCCGTCGCTCCGCTCCGCAAATCGAAAATAACCCCCGACTTGCTATGCAACACCACCTTAAGTAGGTTACAGGGTACGTTTTGCGTCACTCATCGAAAAAAAATACCTATATCAATATTTGAAATAGTCGTAGTAAACTAGTGTAATGCTCGAATGCTTAAAAATCGCGAAATAGTGTACTTCATTAGGCCATAATTTCAAAACTAAGTCCGTGCGCCAAATTCTGACTTCATCAACGTTTTCAGCTTACTAAACTACATAGGTATAAAAAAAAAAATGCAAAAAAAAAGGTGTCCCGTAAAGTAGAAATATACCGGTTTTTTTTGTCAATGTTTTTCGTAGTTACATCTTGAGACTTAGAACACTCAACATTAGGTATATCAATTTCACACATAGTGTGTAATATACAATAATACATATTTTAGTCCTGAGCACCCCAATGAATGTATGCATTGTGATTTGTGTGATCATTTAGCATATTATTCACTGTTGATGTTTGTTAAATATAATATTGTAACAATAGTACTCGTTTAATATGATACCTTCAAAAATTAATATACGATAAACCTATTCGATACTCTAATTCGCATATATGATACCTTGTATTTGTTATAGTGGTATTCTATCAAAATTCATTATGAATGCAAACGATGGGACCATGGAATGTGAATATACTACAAATAAAGGCTTTGAAGATTTTAAGCTAGAACCAGGATACAGTGGTACAGAACAATATGACTTCCCAAGACCTTATGATCATTCAGAACTATACAGTGATTATAGACCAAAAGATAGATCAGGACAAGATTATTATCCAGAAACTAATGATTTAGAACCAAAAGAAAAAACTGAACCTTTGTTTGTTGTAGACAAAACTAAAAACTTTAGACTAAATCGTTCAATACAATACGAGGTAATTAAAATATATTTTTACACGGGTTTATATTTCCATAGGTCATATTTCAATTATATATAGGTAATTTACAGTATTTTTATATTTATATTAAGTTGTAAAAGTCAAATTAATTTTAGATTTAATAACTTGGTTTACATTTTCAATGATAATATTTTGGAATGAATGCAGTTTCACTACTCATAATAAACATGTGTTAGTAAGTTAAAATTAAGTTTAAATTGTTAAAAAAAATAATGATTATTTGTAAATGCGTTTTGTCTTTGTTGTGCGTGTGCCACAGAGAAAACGAATAGTGTGCTGACATCCTCTTAATCAATTTTGATTATTCGTCTATATATATATTTTAGATACTTAGGTTTCAGTAAGTACTACTTACGAGGAGCTTTATGTTAAATTGTCAAGTTTTAACTATTTTTACATGTTATGAGGTACTTTGTTTTATATTATCAATGTTTTTTATCAACCAACAAAAATACTATCATGGAAAGATCGAAAAAAAGTGGAAAATAACAAATATTTATAAATAGCACAAAATGAGCCAAAATATTTTGAAAGGTGTGTCATGTCTAGAAAATCCTAATATGAATATTAGGTGAAGGTTTTATGTCTAGAGTTTTTCATTTTTGAATTACAAAACAATAAAACCTACCTAATCGATTTTGTTGAAATTTGAAGTAGTATTTTTATTAGATCTGATGGAAATATAAACTAAGCACACTATATCACTTAGTTTATAAGTAATCTATTCACACTGTAGTACAAAAGAAGCTCAGTATAAATTTTTATAATACTATAGCATATTTGTCTTGTGTATTAGCTAATATACACAGTTTGTCGTTGATTTATATTACACCTAACTCTTGTTTATTATATCATTATACATATTTTAATAGTACATAATATATCCAATATTATTATTATGCATTGTGACAATGGCCAAGTTTTCAATATGGTATGTGTTTTAGATTCTGAGTGAAACGATGAATGTATTGATTTTACAATGATGTGTGTTTTTTTTTTATTTTTTATTTTAGATTCTGAGTGGAACAATGAATGTATTGATTTTACAATGATGTGTGTTTATTTATTTTTTTTTTTACTTTTTTTGTGTTTGTGTACACGATAAGTAGTCGAAATAATGCTTCGATTTTCAACTTCAGTATCTTGTTCGATTGGAAAGTGAATATCGTTGGTGCATTGGAGAGGTCAAAATTTAAATTTCCCAGTAGTTTTCAAAAGCGCCGGGAAAAACAAAAGAAAAATTGAGGAAAAACGTTAATTTTTACGCAAAATCTGTTTTTGAGAAAATCGATTTTGGTTTTTGGTGTAACTTTAAAACAAATGACCGTAGATACATGAAATTTTCAGTGGTTGTTTATATTTGCATTTTCTATACATGATAACATTTTCAAAATATTTTGATTTATTATGAACTGTTTAGGGACATTTTCAGTTTCCAATTTTATTAGTTTTTTTTTTTTATGAATATCAATAAAAATTTATTTGTTGAGTAAAAATACTTGAAAATTTAATACAAGGCTCCTACTATATTGTTTCAAAGACAGATGAAAAATATTAAAAATCGTTGATCACAGTTTTTTTTTTTAAGCATTTAAAGTTCAAAAATTGACAAAATATGGAAAAATCACGAAAATTAGCAAATTATTTTGAATAAAGAATTCGTAAAAATTTTTCTTTTTAAATCTATTATTTTAAAATCTAATACAAGATTACTCATAAGATTGTCTACCTTTATTAATAAAAAAATCTCTACCGGAAAGTCAAATTAAATTTTAATGAGCGTTTGAAATTCAAATTTTTACAACATTGGATATTCACTTGATTTCTCATGTAGCGATTTCTTTATTTTGTTTTAATTCAAAAACGAATAACTATAGATACATGAATATTTCACTGAATGTTCAGATTAGCATTTCCTATACACTGTACAATTTTGAAAATATTTCGACTCTTTTTGAGCTGTTTATGGACATTTTCAGTTTTCAATTTTTTTAGTTTTTGTTTTCTATAAATATCAATAAAGTTTTATCTGTTGGGCCAAAAAGTGTAAAAATTTAATACAAGGCTCCTGATATATTTTACAATATCAGTTGAAAAATATTAAAAATACTTAGGCACAATTTTTTTTTTTAAGCATTTAAACATTGAATTTTGACAGAATTTTTCAAAATCTCGAAAATTATCAATCATTGTAATTAATAAATTATAAAATGTTCAGTTTTTATATCTAAGGATTGCAAATTTAAAACAAAGGTTATCATAAATAGTTCATACTGTAACCGAAAAATATAAAAAATATATGAACACAGTTATTTTTTACAGACATTTTAAGTTCAAATTTGGACGAAATTACATATTAAAAAACCTAGAATAACTATTTTAGTTATTTTGTTGTGATTGAATAATATTATTCGGGGGTACTTGAAACTTCTAAAGTGTACTATTATATATCTATGATAGTATCACGGTTTTTGTTGATGTATAACACGTTATAAGTACCTAATGGATATTGTAATATGATTAATTTTGGAATTTATTATAGGTCGATTTTTTTTTTAATACCATAGATATGTATATAATATGTCTTATACATAGACTGACATACCGTCTCAGAATCGTTTTTCTTATACAATGATATTATATCGTTGAATTCAAATTTAATATCATCCATTATACAGTGACCCACTTGTAACCTACTGTACAGCAGAGCGACACCCACTTGCCCACCTTTTTTTAATTGGTTAATCACAAGAATAAATAAATATATTTTATTTTTTTTGCTGGTATAATATCTATATTGTATATCTTATTTAAAATACAAAAATATATTCATTCGATATAATAAAATTAAAATATTATAAAATTCTATTTATTTTAAAAAAAATATCTATTTTTTTGTTATAGACATCACCAAATAAAAACAAATATGGAAAAAATAATTTTGCGTCACAAAGACAAAATTCATGTTGGAATTGCAATTCTGTAAATCATTCTTTGCATAATTGTCCAGAACCCAGAGTTCAATGGAAAATTTCAAAAAACCGACAGGCATTTCTTAATCAAAAAAATCAACAATATCAATCAAATTCTGGTGGTAGAAACTATAAAAATCGGTAACTATAAAAAAAATCTAAAAGTTATCTAGTTTTATGTTGTGTTTATATGCCCGAAAATGAGATTTGATAATATAATTGATTAATTGAATATATGTTTTATAAGACTATTAAGTGTAGATTGATAAGAATATTTATTGATGTAAATCAATTGTACTTTGTCTTTAAACTTAGAATAATAAACTCATTATCGATTAAATTTTTTATTGTAATTTAGATTTGGCAATCATAAGAATGTACGATACTTTGTAGCAGGGACTAAAACTTTATGGAGCGATTTAACACCTGGTAAATTAAGTGATGATTTGTTAAAAGCATTGGGTGTTCCTAAAAATGGACTCCCAGTACATATTTATAGAATGCGAGAGCATGGTTATCCTAGTGGATGGCTTGAAGAAGCTAGAGATGAATATTCCGGGATATCAATATTTACTACACCCAATGAATGTAATTATAAACGTCTTTTACTTTATAATAGTATTCAAATAATTATTTATACTTATTTATACTTCATAGAAATTGTCAATATTTAAAATTTTGAAACTAAGAATTTAACATATTTAATTTTAATACAAATTATATATGTTAAATTGGACTCTGTGAAATTATTGGTAACCATGAATAAGTTAGATTGAGTCTAATAATTTTAATTAGAAATACATTTTTCCTGTCCTATCATACTAGTAAGAGGCCCTAAAAAGATTTTTATATTTTTATATTTATATCTACTAAGTGCACTACTAATCTGATTTTATGTAATCTGTGATTCCATTTTTAATTTAAAATTATCAGTCAAATTTGATTATTGTTATATTGTTGTATTTTAATAAAACATTAATATTTGTTTTTTTTTTTAGGTTTACCTCTTCCCGGCAGAGAAAATGGAATAAATGATTACTTCCATTGCAATATCAATGAAAGAAAATTACATGAATATCCTGGATTTAACGCTCCTTGTCCACCAGATATTGTTGACGTAAATTTTTTTTAACAATTTGTAATGTGATAAATAATTAAGTTAAATGTCACATTTAGAAAATCACTTATTAGTTAAATGTTTTATTTATTTTTATATTTTGAATGATCAAATTTATTTATCTTAAACATTTTTTGGCAATTTGTGTTGTGTAATATTGTAATTATTGTTTTAGGAAGGGAAAAAATTTGGTTGTCCTGAATATAATCCAGATCAAAGCCTCAAAAATATGTATGAAAGGTTAAAAGTTGGCCCAATTGGTAAAGATGGTATAGCATTGTCTGGAACTAGTAGTCAAAGTCAAGACACAGAATTTGCATCTATCTCTGATGGTAATGATTAATGGAGATGTTGGTGCACTGTCTGTTTTATCTCTGTAACCCACACACAAAATGGACAGAACACATTGAACATTTTTTTTTTTATGTTTTGAGTAGTCTTAAAGCACAATCAAAAAAAAAAAAAAAAAGACAATGATATGGCATGACATATCAATTTTCCTAAAAATGATCCAAAACAATTTAATATCCATTTAAATTTAAAATTATATTTAAAAAAATGTAAAACTGTAGTGAGTCATTTTAAGGTCAATCAAATGTCATAAAAAGTATTTTACATTAATGCGTTTGATTTATATTACGTGTGGGTCTGAGGGAGAAATTAAATATTGCACTGACATCTACAATGTTTTATTTTTTTTTAAATCAATTAAATATTTAGTATTAGATAAGTTTTTTTTGGTATTATTTTTACTGGACTAAATTCAATTTCAAGTGCTTTATGGGTATTTAAGTCTCAGTATTGTTATTTATTTAATGTAACTGAACTATATATTAACCAGAATATTATAATATTTATATTTTATTCTTGTTAAATAAATAAACTATTTAAATAAGTTGATACTAAATTTCTACCTAAAAGTGGTAGTGTTGATTTTGTGTATTAATATTAAACTTGAAAGAAATAACAAAACATTGTATTCAAAAATTAACTTTAAATGGTTCTTATAATTATGCTTGCAAACTAAACTTTATTTATTTTTGATAAATAAACAAAATTGCTTGGCAATGTTTAAAAAGTGTCCACTGAAGAAAATAACAATAATTCTAGAGTAAAAACATTCCATGCTTTTGAATCTAAATAAAACTTTAGCTTATATAATATTATAAAAGATAATGCTACAAGACCATTATAATATATTATATTATAATGGTCTTGTAGCATATACAATTGATGGCCAATATAGAATATTTTACTTGCCATATACAGTGAGGAGTAGTAATTAAATGCATATTCCAGCACTGGTTGTAAATCATTGATTTCCTTACACAAATGGCTATCATATACACACATACCTTCATATTATGTTTATGTTTATTTATACCAAATTATGTAAACTACTTTATAATTTTAAAAATATTAATATATTATAATAATTTAGAAAATCCAGTTGAAGGAAACACCTTGAATTTAAAAACCAAAAAGGAATTAAAGGATAAACCACCCTCATCACCCGAAGATGGAGAAATTACTGAAGATGAAGATAGATCTGACAATAATGATGAAAAGGTAAGACGTATTAGAATTTCAGTGTGTTGAAGTTGTATTAATACATTGTTCAAACAATAATAATAGTTCCTTAAATCAACGCTACATTTTAATATATTGAGGCAGAGAAAAAAATAATTGGGACTTAGTAAATTTTATTGAAGCAATTTATTTATGTAAAAAAAATGATAAACATTGTTATTTTACTTTATATTTTATTCTTGTAAATTGTATTTATTGTGATAACTAGTCAGACATTATAAATTTAACACATTGGAGATGAGTACCGTTTTAGACACGGCCATGGTTTTAAGATACGTGAGATGCTAGAATTTTTACAATGGTAATACGTTGGAGACGAGTGCCGCGTTTAACACGGTACGTGTGTTTAATGTATACGGAAGAACATTTCCCACCAATTATTTGTTGTGTGGATGGGCTGTTTTCTCATATTTTCCATATTTTTTTACTCTCTATTGAATAAACCTCCTTTTTTTTCATCGAACTCTCTGAATGTTGATCTAAAAATAGGTCTAAAAATAAAAATGATCATCTAAAACACGATATATGTAATATACGGTTTTCATAAATGTTTTCAAACAGGGATTTTTATTTTGTAAGGCATAATGCATATTGACAATACTAATTTTAAATAAATAAAATAACATTATTTTTCACCACTTTAAAGTTTTACGTTTGAAGGGGTAGTAGGTGATCATCTGATCACCGTGGTCCACCCCCGTTTTATATTTATTATAATCAATGATGGGCCACGGGTTTAAATTTTCGTATTGGACTTCCCCTAGCTTTGATAGTCACAGATGCCATGTCAGCCGAGTGACATGTTGACGTAACAAGAAAATCTCTCGTGTCTTTCAACTTAATGCAAATTTGTGGGCCATTCCTACCAAAAGCCATTTCACCTTTTTCTAATTTAACGTTAACTATACTGTATCTTTATTCTTTTGGAAGTCCTCTACGAATTGCCATCACCTTTCCTACACCGTTCGTTTTATTATTCCAAAGATACTCCAATACCATAGGACTAGAGTAAAATCTATCCTTGTTATGGCCTTTGTCGAAATATTGTTTTAATAAGCGACTTTATAAAGGTATAATAGAATTATTTTCCTGTCATTTCCCAGAATATATCTCAAAACTTAATGTGTATCCTGTTAGAGGGTCAGAAGACTTTTCCAAACATATTTATCGTTATTTGCTATATGTGAAATTTAAAAAATACTAATAAACCTATCCCTTTTCATGAGTTTAGAAGCATATGTTGTTTGTCATACAGGGTTAGTTGACCAATAATCTTTAATGTGCGGTTTTTCAACCAAACCATGTGTAAAATTATGGAAAAATTATCAGAAGTATCAATGTAGTTATAACATTTGGGTATAACAATTGCCAAATTAGTATAAGTTTTATTTAAATCGTCTGTTACATTTTCATCTAAAAAATAATAATTAATAAATAGTAGGTATTCTTGAAAATTATTTTTTTTATTACAAATTTTTTAGTTACTAACTGAAATCATTGTCATCAAGTTCAGAACCACTGTTCTCCGCAAATTCATCCAATAATAAATTAACAATTTCATCGTCATTAATGCGATCCATAGTGAATTATATCAAGTATCATTATTAATTAATATATTAATAAATAATATGAATAATTTATTATAAACAAAGAAAACGAATAGAAGAAGCCAACAACAATTAAATTTTAGAATTTAACACCCAGGACATCGTACGCAATCAGTGGTCGATGTCGAAATGTCAACAACATAATTATTTATTATAATTTTTGGACTATAATATAATATAATTGAAACAATTGTTGGTATTGCGATATTTTAATACAATCTATATTATAATTGAATATAAATTAAATAATTAAATATTATTTTTATATTTTTTATATACAGTGGAACCTCGATAAGTCGAAAACCTTGATAAGTCGAAAAAAATTCCATCCCCTTGCGAAAACCTCGATTACTCGAAAAAAAAACTATAGATAACTCGAACATTCTGTGCTCCGAATATGACGGATAATGACAGATAATTTTATAAACATTTATCTAATCGGCTTGTCCGTTCCGATAATTTTATCTAATCTTCATTGTTTCAATGAAGCAAGCAACAGCAGGCCTCATATTGCTAAGGACATTCACCGAACAATTGAGTAATGTGGACGATAAAGTGTACTCTGCTTTAAATGTAATAGAAAATACAATTGATAATAGTAAATTTCAAATTTTAAGTCAAAGTAAAATAATAAATTATCTTTTATAAAATATTATATTTTTTTGTAATAATTTTTTTATTTAAATAATCTGTATAATCACATTTTTTAACATTGTTTATACATAATATATACTAAGTCAAGGCTGGGCAAGTTAATGTTTTTTTTTAACTCGTTAAGTTAAGTTATTTTAAAATAATTAAGTTAAGTTAAGTTAAAAGTTACTCGTATTTTTTATCGTTAACTCGTTAAGTTAAAAGTTAACTTTGAAAAAAAAGTAACTTAACTTAGTGTAAAGTTAAAATTTGCTAATTTGCAAAAATAGAAAATACCAGACACATAATGTGGTTTATTAGATAGTTTTTCTTTACGTCTAAGAAAATTACTGTTGAAATTTAAAATGATACACCAAAGTAAAAACACATTAAAAAATTTACATTATTCTTCAGAAGAAAATTAACTTAATTTGGATATTTTTGAAATAAAATTAACTTGAAGCTAACACGTTAATCTTGAAAAAAAGTAACTTATTAAGTTAAAAGTTAATTTGAAAAAAAAAGTAACGAGTTAATTAACTTAATTAAAATTAACTTAACGTTTTAACTTAATTTTAATTTTTAACTCGTTAATGCCCAGCCTTGTACTAAGTACATAATAATTAAAAACTTTAATACATACATACATTTTTAAAACTCTTTAAGTCGAATTTTTTTTCTAAAACCTTGATAACTCGAAAACCTTAGTAAGTCGAAAACCTTGATAAGTCGAAAAAATTGCATTTCCCTTGAATTTCGACTTATCGAGGTTCCACTGTATTTAAACGATATCTTGTAAAACACGGTGTTCGTCTTTTAGACACAAAAATATTGCCCGTTTTAAACACGGTAAGCGTCCTCAATGTTGCAATATATACAAATAACGTCGTCTCCGATACTAAAATACTATGACCGTGTTAGACACTTCACTCGTCCTCAACGTAACAATGCCTTAAAAAATTGTTGTCTCCAATGTGTTAAGTTGAATAAAAAAACCTAATAAAAATTATAAGTTATTATAATGAGTAGAAAGTGTGATTTAACTAATTTGTTAATATAAAATTGTATTTTTCAGTGTCTTTCTAATGCAACAGTGCCAGTTGATGTGAAAAATGTATCAATGTCGATTGAGAGTAGTGCAGATACTCAAAATGATTCTCAATCAAATGTCTCCAATTCAAAAACGATAGACAATGAATTAGGCTTGACACCAACATCAAAAAGGAAATTCGGTGATGTGAAATCTGAAACACTTGGTACTCCGGTCCTCAAAAAGTTTTCTTCATATGGAAATCGACCAACGCATGAACATTTTGCTAAAGGAATGTCTGATATGGTAGAACATGAAAACTTACCAAATGCTATTGGGACATTTAAAAAGTTAAAAGAAATATTGAAGGATGTGCGCAAGACAATTAATGATTTATTATGAGGAGGTATTATTATGACAATCTACTTCCAAATTCATTTAGACAAAATTATTTTGTCAATTATATTTTAATTTCATCAACATGAATAGTAAAAAACATATTCCATGACTGTGAACTGTTAATGACAAAACATCCTTAATTTTATAACTTAACTTTTAAAAACAGTTTTGTTTTGTTAATGTGTATTGAACAATATTTATTATCAGCTTATAATAATATTATATTCATGAAAAATATAAAACATTAATATAAAAATAATGCATCATTATTCAATTACCTTTTTGAGACCAGAATATAAGTTATTGTTATAGTTATTGTTTGTTTGTTTACCTACAATAAGTTGTAGTATAGTTATCTAATATATTTACATAAAACTTAATAATATCAAAACATAAGTTAAGTGATGACACAATGTGTATATGACTTCTTGTTATATTTTGTTTAATACAGTAAGATTTTAATAACTAACTAATTAATGTCAACTAACCTTAGACTACTGTATAATTATGAAAAAATTTACTTTGCAGTGTCTAATTTATAACTTTATATTACTCTTTCCGATAATTAGCCAAATGTAAATTAAGTTTTTTCTAATTTTATGTCTTAAAGAACGGCATATTAATATTGAATACCTCAGTCTTTCTATTAAAACCATAAATAATAATGTTGTTATTATACTCTTCTGTTAATGAGTAATCTAATATATTATTATAAGTATAAACATAGTAAACATTTTTGGAATTACTATTTCTATAAGCAATACTACACATGGTCTGAAATTGTAACTGTATTACACGATTGAAATCAATTAGTTACTTTTTTTAAATTTTGCAATAATGATAATAAATATCAAAATGAACAACCAGATGTTATAAAACTAAAATCGACTTTATTTTAATGAAGAACAATTAAATTTGTATAACAAATGTTTATTTTTTTTCACACAATTTTGTTTGTTTTTGAACTGTAGTAAAATTTGGTTATAGATACTCTATGGAAATAAACATTTGTTTACAATCTAGTGTGCCATTAAAAACAAGAATTTCTGAACTAACAAAATGTATCTTTATATTTGATTTATATTCAATTGTAAATAAAATAAATATGTTGTAACTTGTAATTAATTTTAAGTATGCAGGGTGATTATTTTACAATTAAACACTCATTATTTCAAAAAGTTAAATGTTCTTGAAAAAAAAAATGTTTACATGGTTGCTATTCGTCAAAAAACATGTTAAAAAACTATACATTTTTTAATGTTTTTATCATCAACATTTTTAAGTTTTTACTTTTTTGAATTAGAACATACAGTTTTAGAAAAATATTCTGCATTCAAAGATTAAATTAAAACTGTCATAATTCAAAAAATTTTAATTAAACATTTATACTTTTTAAATAATGAGTGTCTTATGTTAAATGAATCATCCGGTATTAATAGTATTATGTATACAAAATATATACAAGTGTGTCACTTAATATGTCCCATTGACCTTTTCACCTTTCCAACTTAAATTGTGTATTTTTTCACAAATAAATGAATATTTTAATTTTTTTCTTCTCAAAACTTAACACAAATAAAAAGAAGAGTATCAATTTATGGTTTTTAAATTCTCAAATAAAATATTTTTCTGAACATGCATTCATCTTGTTTAATACTCACTCGTGTGTAATTGTATTTAATCTATATAATTTAAGAACATTTTTTTCTTCTAAATTTAATCAGCTTTATTAATTATTGTTGGTTAAACTGTTAGTCAAAGATTTATCACTTAGGAATTTAAACATTTTGAATATAATAATCGTGAAGGTTTAAAGACAAACTAAGAAACTAAGTTTTTTATTTTAATTATAATTTGTACACATTATTCGTATAATTATATTATTTTTTGATTTACTTTATAATTAATGTATAGTATAAAAAATATATACACTTGTTAAACATAAATATTTTTTAGTTTTTTAAATAGTAAAGGCATTTAAAAAACGAATAAATTTGAATGAAAAATTTGAATAAAAAATTTAGTGATAGATATTATTGTTTCAACATGTGCAACACCATTTTCACTAATATTAACAATATATTATTGTAAATATAAAATATAATTATAAAATAATATTATTAAAATATATTAAATTGTATTCTTTAAACAGTTTAACAAAAACATATTTTATACATTAAATATATGTATAATGTATATAAAATATGTATATAATATTGTACTATACAAAATGTAGTTATTTATTTTATAGAAAAAATAATATTGTCTATCTATTAAGTCAATAATAATTGTACAGTATAAAGTATAATCTTATAAACTTAAACTAATTGTACTATTTATTATTATTTTATAGTAATATAGTTTAGAACATATAATTGAGTTTTATCATACTAAAAGAACTTACTGTTATATTATGTAAAATACATATTTTGTACTTAAATAATATTTGTAAAATGCCTTTTGATGAATTTCTATGTAATTTTGATTGATAAAGTTATAAAAATAATTTCTTTAATTAAGGGGATACCACCAAAGAATCTTTATAACAAATATAAATATGTTTTCTGATTTCTAATTGTAGAACTAGCTTTATGATTGGATTCGAAAAACATGTAATATTTAAACATATTTTGTACATTCTTTTTATTTCTCTAGACAACACATACTTAAAATATTAACTATAGTAAACACTTTAAAAACGTTTGGTATCAAATGTCCAAATTAATGTTTAATATGTGTAATGACAAGAATATTGAAGAATTCAACATTCTACACTATATTTTATTATTGAAGTTTCACCTTTCAATTTAGACCACTTCTTATTTTGCTATATTACTGCAGGACTGCACACCTGCAAAATGCATAAATTATATTTAAAAAATGAGATTTCAATATATATATTTGTAATTAGTGATAGATAAAACATTAAATAAATAATAACTATATTATTCTTGTACCCTTATTCTCTATTCTTACAAGGAATATCTTTTTAATTTATTTTGGCACTTTATTAAAAGAAGGTGGAGATTTTGGTCTTAATTCTTCAATACGATCAGTACATCCAGTTGTTAATTGACCATTAATGAAATAACTTTTATACAAATCAATGTTGAAATTGGAATTAGTCAATTCTTGTCCCAGAGTTAGCCATCCTGGACGTATAGTACCATCACAACCAAACAGATATAATCTTAAAACAATAAAATAGAGTCATAAATGTTAAAAACATATTCATACAGACATATTCATACAGATATTATTCAACCTTCTTCTTCCAAGACAAAAGTGTTCAATAATATTGAATATTTCTGATGGTTTTTCTGTTGATCCATGTTCATTTTTTTCACTAATAATTAAATCAGTATCAATGTTTGAGTGAATAAAATCACCGTCTGTAGAACGACGAACTGTTCCTTTGATACCCATTAAGCAATGTTCCTAGAGTTATAACATAAGATAAAATATAAATTGTTATGCTATGTTATGATACTTTACCTTGGTACGTTGGAAGAGAGCATTTGGTTCTAAGTATTTTAAATGGTTAAATTTTTTAATATTTGTTTGAATCCAACAAATATCTTCACAACGTCTAAAACCCCAGTGACGTAAACAATCACGGCCATTTTCCAAACCATCAGATGAACCACACCAGAGAAAAATAAAACTACGGTGAGCTGCTATTTCATTCAATTTCAAGTCCATTACCTATTATGAGGAAATTAATTATAAAAATTAACATTAATATATTATTAGGTATTTTTAACAAGTATCAATGAGACAATACATACAACATCACTAATTACACAATTGGCAATATTTTTTTGCTGTAAGTTTTAAGTTCTAACCCTAGGTATTAAAGCACACCCCAAGCCACTGCCCACTAAAAGGCATCTGTAATACAGTTGGACTTTGTCTGTGTGTCACGATGGTGACAGTTTATAAAATGTATATAATTTTAATTTATAGGTACAATTGTTATTAAAATTGAAAACTAAAAATTTAGGTACCTCATTGAAATTTCAAGTTTTGCACTGACCATATTAAATTGAATAACTTTTTACAAAATATGTATTATTGCAGAGCTGTACAAAATATTGATTAATTTAATGGTTCATTAAAATTTAAAGGATCGAACAGAGGCCACTAAATCATGTTTAAGGGACCATTACATTATTATAATTCATAACATTTATAGCAATGCTTTTGGTATATCTGCATAAGTATATTATTAATTATCATAAATATTGAAAAAGCTCACTTGTTTCCAATTCCATAGACTTTTTTTGGTTGTACCTAATGTTTGTTGATATTCTTCTAGAGGTGGTTCAACAAGTATCACATCAAATTTTACATTTAAATTTTCCAAATTATATGTTCTCAGATCACACTTTAGAAACATTGGCGGAGTAGCAGTTTCCAAAACAAGTTCATCCTATTATAACATCCAATAATCAAAGAATAATTTAAAGAAATTTGCATTGTTCAAATTTAAAAATTTTTTTTTGTGTATAGCAGAACTTAATAATAATATAGAATAAGTGTTGAGAGATTATAAGACTAATGACCTAAGATACTTAGCAATATAAGTGTGTTATTACGAAAATTGTACCTAACGTAATAATTTATTTCACAAAAAAAACATATTATTTAGTTTCATCTATTCATTAAAAATTTAATGAAAATTGGGTTTAATTGAATATTTTAGAACTTTAAAATACCCATGTATTTAAACTATACCTTTAGATGAACTAATTCCTTTAACTTAGGAAGTTCTTCAAATCTGTTAGTTAGGTGAACATCTCTAATAAAATTTTGTGGACGTTGACCAGTATCAATAAAATGTTGACAGTAATCATTGTGCGGATTATACGATATTGTACCTTTCAGAAATGGTGTTGAATCTCTAAAAGTATTTTCTGGACTCCTTGCAATTGTATTGTATTTTTTAACTGAACGCATTTGCATTTTGGTCTTCCTATAAGGATTTAATGCTAGTCTCAACTGTTGTACATCAGAGAAACCTAACTGTAAAAAAAAAAAAAAACACTTTGTAGGTATATTACAAATAACTTAGATATATTTTACTTGATTTACGGTTTTCGCAATCATTTTTTTTCTTTTTTTAGATCGTTTTTTTAATATTCTTAATGTTTCACTCATCGTAGTGATACTTTGTATTAAACTGTGAATATAATAGATTCAATAAAAAATTTAAATAGATAGTTCGAAAAAACCTATTTATTACAGTTATAAAGTTTAAAATAATCAATTAAATATTGTTCTTTGTTTTTCAGACATTTTATTTTTTGTTTTATAATTTATTCATCAGTAATAAATAGTAATAACTTTTGAGTTTATCGTGATCATGAAAACTTGCTCTTCTATAGCAGTGGTTTTCAAACTGGGTGCCGCGGCACACTGGTGTGCCTCGAGAATTCACTGAGTGTGCCGCGGTCTTTCGGAAAGTTCAACTATTCGTCCAAGAATAAAATTATAAAAATAAAATTAATAAAAAATGTTTAGCCCGTCATTCGTCACTCATTTCTAATTAAATGTACTTATATAATTATAATTCAAAATAATTTTGTTCGTCTAATTATTTAGTGCAAAAAAAAAAAAAGGTCTGTATGCCTTGAAAATTTTTTGTGGAGCACGGTAAAAGTTTGAAAACCACTGTTATATAGACTAGAATTTATTCTAGACTTCATGATCGTGATTCCTGATGACGTGTATATAGTATCACATCAGTTCTTAGGCAAGTTGCCAACTTAACATTTTTTAAGTGAAAAATGGTCAAGTATGATGGTAATTAATATTCTATGTACTATGTATTTTTCAAAGTAATTTTCCACCAATAACCAAATATTTGAATATATCAGTTTGAATTTATTTTACTTAATATATTTATTAATGAAATATATTATTTAGTCATTATTATTTAACCCTCCAATCAACCTCACTATAATTTGTTGATAAGTACATACTCAAAGTTTTCAATCTTATCACTAACACTGTATTTAAGTATTTTTGCTTTATACCTACTAATACAAAATAAATTTTATTTGTCCTCAATTTACCATATTTTATATTTAGTTTTAACACAATTGAACAGCGAATAACCGTAACCCAAAATTGTGTACTTATTTTTACATTAACACATATTGTTGGAGAATCGTCATAATAATAATACAGTAGGTTACATATAACAGCTTATATTCTATAAACATAATATTACTTTGAGAAGTATGTAATATCCTTGCAAACAATTTTAATGTATAAACACACATTTTATTTGTATTTATTAAATTTTGTTTAAAGGTATGTCACATTTTTGGTGTAAGGCTCTAGAGCGGGTTCCTACTTAGGTAAGTAATTATCTTTAAGTATTTTCAAATATTAAATTATGATTAATCACAATTACATTATATTATATCGTCCTCATTTAATTTATATTGAACCATGTAACTTATAGAAAATCCAAGATTCATGCTTCTATTAAAATGAATAATAAATTGACAAAAATATTATGATAAATGTATCTAAGTTTTAAAACATAACCACAAATAATACCAACAGTAAATAACATTAGCAGCTGGCGACGCGACTGTGGCAAGTGGCAACTGGCAACACAGTTTAAATCTATATTTATAGAAATATTATCTCTATAATAGACTATTTAGTAGGTATTTACAACAGTATATGCGCATACAATGGTACCCCCAGTACAGTCACTGCCAGATAACTTGGCACAGCAGCGGCACAACGCAAATCCAGGGGTTTTCCGTATTCGGATATTAATACAAAATAACAAATAGTGGCGTAAATTAGTAATTATCCATGGATATTATTATTAGTATATTCCATTGTTTCCATATTAAATTAATCTAGTCGGCCGAGATCATTTATTGTTATCAATTAGCATAGACCTTATACTCAGAGTAGGAGGTATAAGGTCTATGATTTTTGTACATTTATGATAAACAATTTAGTGGGACGCAAAAAACGGCTTTTAGGATTTAGGGCCGTTCTTACAATGTCCGGTAAAGTGTCGGTTAACGCTAACCGACTGATAACAGATTTTATTACCGGCAGAATTCTTCCGGTTAAGTGTCGGTTAACTTTAACCGGACGTCGTAAGAACTTATGATACTTACTATATATACCAACTACTTTGAAAACATCGATCCATTTATTAGGAGTGTTTGATAAAAAATTGCTGATTCGGACCCATTTACTCAAAGTCTTCCGGAACTCACAGAAAATGTCTAAAACACGATGTGTAAAAAAAAAGCGTGAAAGTAAAACTATTTCAATTTCAATTATCAGTGGGCATTTATTTTTTCCGATTTTGATTTCGGTTTCGAATATCAGTATTTATTTTTTCGAGTTTCAGATATCAGTATTTATTTTTTCGAGTTTCGGTTATCAGTATTTATTTTTAACTAAATCGATTTAAATTTGTTGTTTTTTTTTTTGGCTTGTAACCATTTGTAATTATATGAAAAAAATATATTCAACAGTATTATACAGAAAATATTTGGATTTTGTTTATGAAGTATAATATTAATATTGTTATCATAAGGTCTGGCCTGTCGGCTGTCAATGGCCTAACCTAATACTGAATGGCTAACATACTGACTTCATATGATATAAAATTAAAAACTTATTTTGTAATATTAGAATTTTATTTTATATTTAATATTTATCATCTGGTCTGTCCTAATAAAATGTTCTAGTTTCTCTTATGATTTTTATATTGGTGTTGTATATTAGGTATTGAGGTCACGTATTTATTTATCCTAATTTTTTGTAAAAGTGTCATGTATGGATAAGTTAGGTACTCTATGAATATTTGAACCATCATACCCAGTGGCGCAACTAGGGCGGGCTAGGGGGCCCTATGTTATTAACATCTATCATTTTAGACTTTATAGGAGATTTGAAAGCACCTAAAAATATATTTTAGTTCATCAATTAAACAATAAAAGCAATATTCATAAAAATTAGTTAACTGTATCATAATTTAAAGTATATGTTATTTCATAATTTTTCTAATTTAATAATAATGAGCTTTAGAAACTTCAAAATTAATTTAATATTTTAATTAAGTTATAGAAACTATGTAGGTACACTATACTTACTATATAGAGGACTATTATTAATACTTATGCTGTAAACATCTATCTTTTTCAACTTTATAGGAGATTTGGGAGCACCTAAAATATATTTTAATTAATTAATTTAACAATAGTCATACAAATTAGTTATTATTATACTTTTTATAGGTAACAACTTGTAAGGGTGGGCGATGTCACAGTACATGCCGTACGGTTTGTTCAAGTGGGTTGAACCCACATTGAATGGATTGTACGATTTAGATGATACATCGCCCATAGGACGAGTATACAAAGTCGATGTCTCATATCCCCAACATTTGCACGATCATCATAATGAATTCCCTTTCCTACCTTAAAACAGCGTGCCGCGAGGCTCGAAGGTACGGAAATTGATGGCAATGTTCGAAAAGAAGAAGAATTATATAGTACCTACATTATAAGTGCCTGCAGCAAGCGATTAAGAATGGGTTGAAAGTTGAAAAAGTAAATATTTATATTTTATAATATTTTTAACAGATTTTTAACACTTTTTTTATATAGGTACATAGGGTTATACAGTTTAACCAGTCTGACTTGTTAGCGAAATATATTAATTTAAATACAGAGATGAGGAAAAGAGCGAAAAACGACTTTGAGAAAGACTTCTTCAAACTCATGAACAACGCTGTATTTGGTATGTTACTTTATTTATACTATTTAAACATTTTTACTTACATTTTAATTTTTCCAGGTAAAACAATGCAGTCCAAACGTAAGGAAATGAAAACGGAGTTAGTATCATGTGAGAGACGACTAAGAAGTTGATTAATAAAAGTACATTCAAGCATTGTACTAATTACAACTAGAATCTGAACGCTGTTGCTCTAGAAAATAAGATTATAAGATTTGACAAACCTATATATATTGGTAAATATACTTTTTTTAAATTACACTTTTACCATACATTTATTAACACACTTATTATTTACAGGATTCGCTGTACTGGACATTTCTAAAACCGAAATATACGACTATCACTATAACATTATGAAGACAAAATTAAGCTAATGTATACTGATACAGGTAAATATATAAAAACTATTTTCTTGTATATAATATATTAATTTAATATCATTATTTTTACAGATTAGTTGGTATACCATATACAAACTGAGGACTTTCATGCAGACTTGGCAGCTAATGCTAACTTACTTGACCAGATGGACACTGCTAACCTGCCCAGTGACCATCCGTGTTATGTGGCAGGAAGGAAGAAGACCCCAGGGCTCTTTTCCGATGAGGTAAACAGAAATGTTATTACTGAATTCTGTGCGTTGAGAGCAAAATCCTACGCTTTCAACGTATATGCTGGACCGGAGGACAGAGTTGGAGGTGAAAATATCAAGGCGAAAGGGATAAGAGGTCATGAGGTCAAAAACCACATGACTCTTGAAGATCATAAGAAGTGTTTGTTTGGTGAAGTTGGGTTGGAGTTATACAAGGATAACGTCTCGATAAGGTCATTCAATCATCAGCTCGTAACTTTAAAAACAGAGAAATTAACCTATAACAGCTATGACGATAAGAGGGTGGTGCTAGAAGATAAAGTACACACACTAGTGCATGGACATTATAGTATAGAGTAAGTTATTACAAACATATATATATTTTTTTTTTTATTAACATTTTTCTTATTTTTACAGAGAAGATGATTGGCCTGAATTAGATGAAGGACAGAACTGGAACGAGGAAGAGAAAGGTTTAATGAGGGACCTTCTACACTGTATATAGTTTTGTTAAATAGTTTTATTGTAAATAAACGTGTTTTGCTGAGCGTAAAATTTGCTATGTTACGCACTTGTGAGCCAGAAAAAACAAATGTAACTGTAACGGCCCCTTAACTCCAGTACCTAACCTTAATTAAAATAAGGGCCCTATGATCTGGGATTAAAATTTTAGGTCATCAATTACAAAATGGCATGGGTGCCCACTGCCCACGGCCAGGCACACCCGGCACCCCATGTGTGCATGCTTATGGATTCATGTGTTACGAAATATAAACAG